CGGAATAAATAACGACATCCATGCGCCGACAAAGGTGGATTTGGTGGACGGGCCCTTCCCCTCCGTGAGCTGCTTCAGCGTCTGCGTCGCCGACTTGTTAGGGGGCGCGCGGGCGCGCCCCCCCCGCCCCGACGGGCGCAGCTTCACCGAGCCGAAAGCAGCGCATCTCCTACTCCAGATCACGCGGCCGCCGTTGATCCAGAGCACACGGCTGGAGTGGGCGAGACTGGCCAAACTCGGCGTGCATGCGCGCGGCAAGGCGCGCGCTGCAGATTCCGGAAAGCCCGAGGTTCCACTTTTAGCGCATCTAAAGCTGCCCCCCCCTTCTTGCCCGCCCTTTGGAGGGCGCGCCCGCTGCGCTCGCGCGCCAGCCGTGGAGGGTCGCGCTGGGAGTGGGGGGGGGGGGGGGCCTTGCACTTCTGAGCATCAGGGAAATTCCGCTGACTGGGCACTTCCCCGTTAAATATGATGTGACTTTGCTGAATTCTACTACTTCAGAACCCCTTTCTTTCTGCAGCGCGCGGAGGCGAGGATTGCGAGGGTGTTCCTTGGCCCCGCGCTTTGCAGGACCATCGGCAAGCGCATTGCCTGCCCAGGCCCAATAAGGGGCTTCAGAGGTCTCAAGGCACTCGCCCCAGGAGATGCGGCTCTTCGTTTTGCGCAGGCGGATCGCATCTTGACATTCATATCGAACGCGCTCCCAGACTAGTCCCCAAACCTCCGAGAACGCCACATCAGATAGGTCAGCATCGGGCCCTCGGGTCCAGACGTCCAGAACGGCCTGGCAGCCCGAGTGGACCAGGGCCTCCTGGGACGGGCCAACCAACTTCAGGGCCGTCAGTGAGGCATGCAGCTCGCCAGCGCCAGCTTCCTGCACAAAGCGAGGCAGGGGCCCGAACGCTCGCCCATGGGCGCCGCGGCCCAGCCCGCGCGAGCAGCGCGCGTCGAATCGCCGTCGAATCCCGGGCCGTCGATGCAGATCCTGGGCCCATGGAAACCCGCGCTGGGCCTTTTCTCTCACCTCCAAACCTCAGCAACTGGAATACTTCGGCCAGTCGTATCCTGGGTCGGCGGCCAGCGCCCTGGTAGACAGGAAGTCGCAGGCGCCGAGCTGCTTGCCTAAATCCACAAGCTGCGGCAGGTCCAAGTCCCGCCTAACCTGGTGGAAGCCGTCGCACTGGAAGCAACGATGCTTCGGCGTGCTGTCAAACTGGCCGCAGACCTTGCACAGCGGTGAGATGGCGCGCCTGTCATGATACAGAACCTCCTGGGTGGGATGACCTCCTACAACTACATTGCACAGGAATGAGGCGGCATCATCTCCCCGCTTTCCTGAAGCCTCTGAGAGCATCCACGATGGGCCCCAGGAGAGGTGGAACAACCCGTCGAGGAATCTCGGGGTCCAAGACCCCAACATGTTCCAGGGGCCTCACCCGTGTAGATTCATTAATCAGCATTGTCAGGGCACGCTTGCCAAAGAAGTGGAGGCCCCGGGAAAACGCGAGGCAGGTGTTCCAGGCATCCCAACTCGTGGAACTCGGACCCAAGTGATCCAGAGTAGCACTAACCGTTCCAGCTGGCCCCGAAACCCTACCCCAAGACTTGGAGGCAGGAGTAGGGCACGCATTCGCGCAAGCTTTCATGATATTTTCGGGGGCCCATCTCTGCCTAACCGCCTGTTGCCGCACGTTCAGTGGGAGTAGATCTGCCTGGAATACAGGGCCCATGTCGGCCGAGGGGCTCAGGGGGAAGTGGGGGGTCCCGGAGCGCCCACGGTACTGACCGAACGCGGCCTGACCTATGATCCAGCGCAGCTTTATGAAGCTAGACATGTTCATGCCTATGACCAGTATGCCGTAAAAAACAGCTGGAAAACCTCCTGTCTTAACCAACTTGCACATGCCAGAATATCCTGCGCGCAAGCCTCTAAACCGGTGAACTCGAGGCCCCAAACTCTCCCATCGCATCGCTCGGACTGGAGTTCGTCGTCGGCCTGCCGTGTAATCCACCCCCAGATTCCGGGGTCCCAACTCTGAATTTCCATCGCGTCAGCCCGGTTCCCACTCGAAACTCGACGTCCCGAGATATGGCCGTGATCGAGCCTGTCGTTGGAAAGATCAGGGAACCGAGCCGTTCGAGCTTATCGCATAACATATACAGCGCGTCGGCCGTCGTCCTCGCCGCCGCTTTAGCCTTCACCGTCGCTCCGATCGCGTCATCGTCGACGACGCTGTAAAATCGAACCGACGGAAACCTTGCGACGACCTGGTCTACGGGGGTCGAGAAGGAGGCATGTCAGCAACGCCGCGGCGAACGCGCAGCCCGCGAGGGTCGCCTGCGGGCAGGAAACAAACTCGGAGCATGCGCGGCCAACCCGCGGAGCTCTCTGGCCCCTGTGCACGCGGAGGTAGCGCGGGCCATAGCGCAGGAAGCCGCGTTTAATAGAAATTGACAACCTTCTCGCGGCATTTGGCCATGTCGATCAGCAACGAGGCAGCATAATGACCATAAATAAAAGCGCGCTGCATCCTTATGGCCTGCTCCCAAGCCGCTCTCTCACAGGGCCGCCCCTCGCTACCAATGTGGCGAGCCCTGTCGCGGGCCCGCCCCCACCCCCTGAAATGCTTACCGCGGCGCCGAACACTCCCGGACAAAACTCCAATAGGTCGAACACCACCGCCATCGCCCTTTGGAATCGCCGCCAGGATGATGGCTGCCAGGGCCGCGGGAAGCCTTCCAAGAGACTCCGCCCATAACCAGAGGGCTGCGACGCACCCCAGAGCGGCGTCAGCATGGATCCCGAAGTCCCTGGGCCCTATCCGCGCCCATCGCCGCCCTGACCTTGAGCCCGCTAGAGCACTTTCGGATCTGCTCCGGCGCGGCCAACTCCATGGGCCCCTCGCGAACTCGGAGATCTTGCTGGGAGAGCAGGCCCGCGTGATCTGGGAGATCCTGGAAACTGCGCTCTGGGGGCCAAATGCCATTCCAATTGTCCATGAGGTCGTCGACGCGCCCCGCGGGCCCACTGGGGGGCACTCCTTCAGGGTTCGACGGAACCCGGCCCGAGGGGACTGAAGTGAACGCGCGGGCCAGTCCAGCCCCAGTATCCAGACTCGCTCTGACCCGAAAACGCCAGGCCTTGCCTCGATCCGACTGAAACTGCTTCTCAACGCGCTCTGCGTTGCGCTTGGCCTTGGTACAGAACTGCACTGGGCCGACGAAATCGAGGCTCGCCGGGTCGCCCACTGACATGGCCACGGCCTGCCAAAAAGGATCAGCACGAAACGCAGCTGGCCCTTGGAGGGCGCGCGCGAAGCAGGGCGCTTGCTTCCCGACAAGATAGCTAAGTTCCAAGCTCAGCCCTTGCCAAATGAGACAGGATGAGCCCCGCCCGTGACTGGGGCAGCTGGGTAGGTCTTGGTCTTCATTCCTTTGGCACGACCACGATACTTGGAGACCTCGCTCTGGTCGACGCCGCGAACGCCCATCGTCTCATCCCCGAAGATCTTGCAACGCCCAACGCAGCCCCTGCCCAGAGCTGACGGGTCGGCGCGCGCCTCGAGCTGGGCAAGACAAGCAGGCCAAAATGGCGGGCACGGGCGCGGGCCGGGGGGCGCTTCTCGAGGAGACGCCCCAAGGCCAACCAGGATCCTCGCCTCGAGCTCTCCGGGGGCGCCCGAGAAGTCCAGGGCGACGAGCCGGCGCGGGGAAGTCGCGCCTTTCTTGTTCAGCGACGTGGCGTCGAGCAAGGGGCCGATCGATTTCGATGCGATGACATAGTCGACGGCGGTCCAAGAAGTCTTAGATCCACGACGCGCGGGCTCAGCCGCGCGGGAGATGGCGCCCCATCTTGTCCACCCACCCCGCGTCCACCGACGACTTCGGCGACGCGCAAGTCCCCGCCCATCGCGAAGGGCAACTGCCAGCCGCGAAGAGCCTCTCCGATCCTATTGGGGATCTGGAAACTGTCGAGGCCCAAGGGATCGTCACAATCGAGGTAGAGGGAGAACGCCGCTATACCACCTAGGACGAACATATCTAGCCATGCTCCACAGATACGGTGCCGCTGTGGCAATGGGCGGACGAGCGGCAAGGAACTCATCCCGATGTGACTCCTGACTGCAATCCCTGTCCCACAACTCAGCCCGCCCTTGTCCGTGGTCCTGATGGGGTGAATGAGCGCGTTCCAACCTAGCTGGCAAAACTGATGGCTACCCTCGCGATGGTCATCACCAAAGGCGAAGTCCTGCAGCGCTACAACCTGGCCGACGGCCTCCGACTCCAAGTGGGTCTTGCGCGACTTCCAGGACGAGGAATTGCAAGCGCCGATGGACATGCATCGTCTCGTCGGTTTTGCCGCAAGATCAGAGCCTCCATCGTTGTCTGGATTGTGTTGGGCTAATCCAGGTCCTCTAGCGCCCGCGGCGCGATGATCGCGGAGGCTGGAAGGAGACTGGACAAACATAGTCGGAGCTTGCGTCGCTTTCGCTTGCGACGTCTCAATCATGGGGCAGGCTTCCGACGTAGACAGCGATGTCCATACCGTCGTGTATGACGAGTCCGCATGTGGCAAATGATGGGGACGAGGGGAAACAGCGGCCATCACAATCGACTGCGAAGCCCCTGTGGAGAAGGTGCCCGACCCACTCGTGGCAGAAGTATCGGGGGGCAAGCCATTCAGCGAACATGTGGCGCCCTGTGCCTGCCATCCTCTCTCCGGTTCACTCCCTGGGGGCCCCTCCTGGCGGCCCCAGCGCCACTGGCCTACCAGCGGCTTCGTCCGAGGGGTGTCTCAGAGGTCTCATGGCAGGCGAGTTTAGCGGCCAAGAAAGAATGACCCCACTCGCCGTCCAGCATGTCATTGTCCAGGATGTGGCCTCCCTGCACAAGAAGCCTTGATGCAACACCTGCAGATGCCATGCTGGCTGCATGCCGGAATCGCTTCTCGAGGTTCCCCTTATCGACGTCGACTGGGGCCTCCACAGCACCAGAACTCGCCATAGCTGCAGCCGCTGCAACCGACTGCTGGGTTGGAGCCTGAGGCGCACGCGGCTCATCACCAACAACTCGGCCCTCTGCGGCCGCAGGCTTGGGCTCAACCGGTGGTTCACCAGCACTAGCCTGCTCGGCTCCTTCGTCGTCGGCACGGCGCCACTTCGCCGCCACACGCTGGTGGAAGGCACGCTGCTCCGCCACCAGCTCCTGCGCACGCGTGCGCACCGAGCCGAAAACGTCAGCGACCGCCTTCTTGACGGTCTGCTCAACCTCTTGCTTCCTCCCGGCGACCTCCTCCTTCTCAGCTGACGAGATCTCGATCACCTCCGCATCCAGACCGAAGAGCCCGTCGTCCTCGAAATTCTCGAAGCTCTCGCCGTCCAGAAGCTTCTCGAGGCTGAGCCCGTGATGGGGCCCAGGCACAGACTCATGCCGAGCCTGCGAATGCACCTCAGGCGCCAGCAGGGTGACCGCCTCATGGTACCGAGCCTGGCAAGCTTGGAAATCGACCATCGCCTGACCCGCCTGCTCCTGAACCTGTGCCAACTAGCTCTGGAGTGCCTCCGCTGCCTTGACGCGCTTCTCCAAGTGACCGCCCCGACAGTGGGCTGCCCATGGACCACCTTCTGCAGCTTGGTAATGTAACTCCCTTACACATTCGCCTGCTCCGTGTCACCAAGGCTCTCGAAGGTGCGCAGCAAACCGTGCAGCTTGGGGATGTCGTCGATCGAATACTTCGTCCAGCCCCCGTTGGCAGCACCAGCCATGGGGCCAATCTGGAGCCAGCCGGAGGCCTGGAGCTGGAGCCCCGCAGGTAGTACTTGTTGCAGCACTGGCGGTAGCGCGCCCGACCCCTGTGGGCCGACCTGCTTGGGCCCGTCTACTCCGATCCCTTTGCTCTTGCCATTTCCTCCCTTCTTACCTTTGCCCTTGCCTCCCTTGGCGGGCTCGCCGTAGGAGGGGAGGGACTCGAGCGAAGGGAACGTCGCCCAAACTCCACCAGTTGCGGGCGGGGCGGATGGTTGCACGTACGCGAGGGGCTGGAGGCAATGCTTGCAGAACCATAAGTGAGCCAAGTTTTTCTTGCATCCGCAGTGCGGGAAATGAGCCTTCGACAGCTGTGCCCCCACTAGTCTTGCGATTTCCCACCCAGGTCCACTGCCGAAAGTCCCCTTTTTCATCACGCATATCAAGCTGGCCGCGACGAAAAGAGCCCCCATCGGAAGGAACCTGAGAGGTTGCGTACGAGGGAAATTGTGTATGCACCGCTCCTGCAGGAACTCACAAAAAGGTATCTGGGGCGAGGAACTGGCCACAGGATCATTGGCGGGGGCGCGCCTCCCCCACGTCAAAAAGGTTTCAGTCTGAGCGAAAAGCTACGGACGTGAGCCAAAATTGCTACGGACTTCTCCCTCTCCCGTTCCTCCTCATCCCCCCCTTCCTCCCCCCTTCCTCCCCCCTTCCTCCTCCTCCTCCTCCTCCTCCTCCTCCTCCTTCTCCTCCTCTGGGTCTGGTTCACGGTCGCTGTTGTTGTGGCCGAGCTGCTGCATGTATTGTTGCCATATATCGGTGCAAAGTCTGTCACTGTATCTGATATGATCCTTATTTTTGGCTCTGCTTACTTGGTTACAGAATTGCGATGGTGCATCGTGTGCGTTTTCGGTCCACCTATTGATGTCCCAGTGTCGTTGTGGGCCTTCCGTTGTTGTGGTCAAGTTCGCCAGCCACCGCAGGTCGCCGGTGATGGGGTCGATCCAAGTGGGTGGTGTGTCGTGTGCTACTGGCTGCTGTCGTTGCCTCTCGTGGCCGAAGTCGGTGAGTCTCCCCCTCTTCCTCCTCCTCCTCCTCCTCCTCCTCCTCCTCCTCCTCCCCGTCCTCTTCGTCGTTCTCCTCCTGCTCCTCCTCCTCCTCCTCCTCGTCCTCCTCCTCCTCCGTCCCCTCCTCTCTCCCTCTCCCCCTCCTCCTTCTTTTCCTCCTCCCCAGCGATCAAAGGCAAACTTGTGCGCCGCTAGTCTTGCTGCCCCCGCGCGGCGTTGCTCGCGCGCCCAGGAAGGCATCATTTCGGCTCCGTGCTTTCTCTTTCTCTCTCTCTCTCTCTCTTTCTGATGCGCCCTGCCTGCGCCGCTCGCCTCTGGACCTCGGAGACCCCGAGGCAGAACGCACCCAGTCTCCTCGCCCTGCGAAACCTTTCGGGCAACTGCAACTGATCGCGGCTGTGCACCGCGTGTCCGGCCCCTCCGCCCCGGCCAAATGCCAAGGGGAAGGGGCGATCGGCCCGAGCCCCCCGTCCTCCTGTTCCAAGGCGACCAGGCATGCTCTGGCCAGGTGCGGCGCAAGCTGGCGGGGGGCGTCCCAATTGGTGTGGAGCTGGACGCAGCTGCGTCCCCCGCGCCCTTGATGCGGCGCCGCCAACGCCAGCACCCCAGGTGTCGTGATATAAAAAACAGTTCTTCGAGTTCGTTCAAACAAGGTTGCTTGAATTCATTCAGAAATCGTTCTACACACGCCAGCCTGCCGTGCAGAGCGGAAGTCAGCCTGGGCGCGCGGCAATGTCGTACAGCACTGGCGATGCATCAGCGACATCGGCGACTTCGTGTCGTGTCGTGACGACTTCGGCGTTTTCCGGCACCGCTTGGATCGTTCAACCTTCACAGATCGGCGGCCATGTTGGCGACTTTCGCTCGCCAAACCCTCCCATGTTGGCCCATGGCTGTGGCCAACCATGAGGAAACCAAAATGCACCGATACCGCCAAAGCGCGTTTGTTGATTTTCGGCGATAACCGGCGTCATAAGGGGGGCGGGGGGGGGTATAACGTCACACCCCCGCCACGCCGTGTGGCTCTGGCACCACAAGATCACGTTTTCTCAGATTCCCAGATAACGACCGTCATCGGCCTAGCCCAACCCCACCCCAGGATTACGTCACGTTCCGCGCTGGCGGCGTGCAGGAATGCCTAGGGATGACCGAGGCCAACTAGGAGCAACATGTAGGTGGCGATCTGCCCCACAGCGCCTGTGTACACCACAGTGTTCGCGTGCGCCACAACGCGCGTGTACACCACAGCGCCTGCGTACAACGCAACAGCCGTGTGCACCACAGCTCCTGCGTACATCGCAACGCCTGCGCGCACAGCGCTGGTGTACACCACAGCGAATGTGTACCACAGCGCCAGTGTACACCACAGCAACCGTGTGCAACACAGCGGTTGTGTACACCACAATGCTTGCGTGCACCGCAGCGCCTGTGCACGCCACAACGCCTGTCTACACCACAACATCCGCGTGCAACGCAGCGCTGGTGTACACAACAACGCCTGCGTGCACAGGACAGGTAGAAGGAGCATGTAACAGAGGATCTGCTGCGGACACCTAAACATTATGCCAAGGAAGTGCTGATAAGAAAATGCGACATTATTTTCTCATCCCGCCTCCTCCTCTACTACCCCCCCTTCCTCCACCTCCGCCTCTTCCTCATCCTCCTTCACCCTTCCCCCCTGTCGTGCGGGTCGGCGCTACATCGCACGTGCGCATCTCAGCGTGCACCGCATAATTGTCGATTGAATCAGTCAATCTAGTTGTCGGACGGCCAATTCTGCAGGAGACTCCTGGGCGCAGCTGGGAAGAGTTAGGATGATGCGGAGGATTCAGGGGGACTCGTATATTCCAGCGGCGTTCCTTTTTCCACAAAGATCTTCCAAATCGTATGAACCAAAAAACAATGTTTCCGGGTGGAATCCACAGGCGTTCCATTTTGTCATAGGGATTTCTTATAACATCCTATGTGCAACAGTGATGTTCTGTTGAACACGGTTGCTGTGGTGCACACGCGCGCCGTGGTGTACACAGGCGCTGCAGTGCACGCAAGCAGTGTGGTGTACACTGGTGCCGTGTTGCACACGGCTGATGTGGTGTACGCAAGCGCTGTGGTGTACACAATCGCTGTGGTGACCGCAGGCATTGTGGCACACGCTGGCGTTGTGTTGCACGCGGCCGTTGTGGTGTACGTAGGCGGCGTGGTGTACACAGGCGCTGCAAAGCACGCAAGTACCGTGATGTACACAAGCGCTGTGGTGCAGATCGCCACCTGCATGCTGCTGTTACCCGTCATCTGTCATTCCTGAACATTCCCAGGCGCCGCCGGCGCGAAACGTGACGTCATCGGCCCCCTCCGCCCCCCCAAATGACGGCCGTCATCAGCCCCGAACTATAGAACAGGCTCCAGTCGCGTCCGCGCGCACGACGACGATGAGCGACGACCGACGAGCGACGAGCGACGAGCGACGAGCGACGAGGACGACGACGAGGACGAGGACGAGGACGAAGACGAGGACGAGGACGACGACGACGACGACGACGACGACGACGAGAGCGACGACGACGACGACGACGACGACGACGACGACGACGACGACTGCGGGCCAAACTCCCATGCGGATTTCTATGCGGACGCCTATGCGGATCCCGATGCGCACGGCGGTACGGCCCGGAACGATTTTTGGGGGGGGGCGTTACGTCATAGGGGGGGGGGCTGGGGGCCAGGGGCTATAACGCTCGCTATGCCCCAAGCAATAAAAACTCCCCGGGCCTCTTTTGGGGCGCGTTCTGACAAGCTCGAGGCGAATCCTGCCGTGGCGACGACCTCCTCCCAGGAGGCCCCCACGGGGCGGAAACGACACAAGGGTAGCGGTAGGGGTACCTGATCCTCCTCTGACTTTTCGACCGCCAGATCCTTCCGTGCTGGCCGATTGCCGTGGAGAGCCTGCCGCGCAGAGCGAAGGCCGGGCTGGGCGCGCGGCAATGTCGTACAGCACCGTCGCGGCGATGCGCCCAGTGCCTCTCGACGGGGCGGGGGCGGAGAGAGGGCCCGCGCACGGGGCGGGGCGGGCGCTCCCCTGGCCCTCCACCTCCTGGCTGACCCTTGTTTTCCCTGTCAGGGGAGGGGGGAGGGGGAGGCAGAGGAGAAAGGGGGTGCGGGGAGGCAGAGGAGGAGGCGAACGCCAAACGAATGTAGACCCAAGAGTCAGCAACGATGATGGAAAAAACCCTCCCTCCGAGCTCCCTCATAGGCCCCTACAACGGTTCATGTCCAATTAAGGAGCGGCCTCTCTTTGGAAGACAACCATTTGAATACCCTGAAGCATGCCAAAACATTATTCCCGGAATTCCAACGCCACGGATCAACCTGACTGTTGCGTCTTGACAATCCTGAATCGTACCAGAACACCATTCTTGGGACTTCAACACAGCGAACCAACATCAATGTTGCACCCGCATAATCCAGAACCCTTTCAAAACACCATTTTTGACACGCGGATGATGGGAATCCGCGAAACTCTTGCATTGTTTAGACGAATGTGCGCCACGCTAAGGCGTGAACCACATTTTGGAAACGACCCACCCTCAATCCGTGAAACACTTGCAATTAACTATGTACAACGAATGTGTGCCGCGCTAAGGCGATAGCCACATTTGAAAACAGCCCGCCCTCAATCCGCGAAGCTCTTGCAAGTCTGAGAAATGAATGTGCGCCGCGCTGCGGCGAGAACCACATTTTGAAAACGGCCCGCCCTCAATCCGTGAAGCTCTCGTAATTTTTGAAAACGAATGCGCGCTGCGCTAAGGCGAGAGCCACATTCCGAACACGACCCGTCCTCAATCTGCGAAACTCTTGCCAATATTTAAAACGAATATGCGCCGCGCTACGGCGAGAGCCACATGTCGAAAACGGCCCACCCTCAATCCGTGAATCCCTAGCATTTTTTAACGAATGTGAGCCGCGCTGAAGCGAGAGAGGAGGCGGAGGAAGAGGAACTAGAGTTACGGATGGGGGTGGTGAAAGAGAGAAAGCATCGAGACAACACTATGAGTAGAGCAGCGGTCCTGTTCCATTCGCCAATATACTAACGCGCGCGCGCTGTGAGCCGGAATGGCGGCGGGTGCGCGCCCGCGCTCCTATTCGAGTCAGGGGGTGGCGGAGGAGGAGGAGGAGCATAAGACGGAGGAGGAGGAGGAGGAGGAGGAGGAGGAGGAGGAGGAGGAGGAGGAGGATGGGGAGCAGGAGGCGGGGGCGGAGGAGGTAAGGAGGTAAGGATAATGATAATGCCGCTGCTGATGATGATGCTTCCGTGCCGTGGTCGAAGCGCTGCGGGTGCTGCGCCCGCGTGGCTGCAAGGGCCGCGATCGGGCACAGCGCCGAGTGGGTGGCGTACTGGTTGCGCACTGCTCCCACGTTGTATCGGTCCGTTTTCGAACCTTCGATGTGCAGGACGCACTCGTCCGCTCGGGCGAACTGGCCGGTGCGCTCGCCCCCGGACCTCGCCTCCACGTCCTCGCCGTGGACCACCCTCTCGAGGGACCAGGACTTGTCCGTCACCAGGTACTCCGACGCTCGCAGGAGGAAGAAGACAGCGACGAGGATCGCCGCGTAAAAAGTGGCGGCGTCGGCTGGGCTGAGGCCCGCGTCCTGGTGGATGTGCTGCTTCAGCCACGGCAACATCCGCGGGGTAACCGGCCTCTTGCGCCGGTTGCTGGGGCCTTGGAGCCTCTTCAGGCTGGCCAGGGTCGTCCACGGCCGCCCTCGATGCAGGCAGGAGCGGGTCGCTGTGCCCGACGATCAGGTGGGCGTACCTGATGGCGAATAGTTTCTGCTTCACCGTCCCCTCGGTGCGCGACAGCACCACCGCCAAAATGATCACGAAGTCAATCAGGGCGTCCTCCTCCCGGGTCCGCTCGGCCTGGTCCCCGCCCTGGAGCCACGGCTCGTTGCCCTGCGCGGCGCGGTGGGCGGTCCACTGCCGCCAGCCGCCCTCGTGCCCGCTGCGGGTGCCCTCGCTGATGATGATGATGATGATGATGATGATGATGATGATGATGATGATGATGATGATGATGATGCTGATGCTGATGCTGATGCTGATGCTGATGCTGATGCTGATGCTGATGCTGATGCTGATGCTGATGATGATGATGATGATGATGATGATGATGATGATGATGATGATGATGATGATGATGATGATGATGATGATGATGATGATGATGATGATGATGATGATGATGATGATGATGATGATGATGATCGGAGGAAGGTTGGTTCCTCGTCCTGCTGCTGCTGATGTTGCCCTTCTTCCTCTCCTTTTCCTCCTTCTCTTCGTTATCCTCCTTCTCCTCCTTCTCTTCCCACCCCTCCTCGTCATCCTCCTCATCCTCCTCCTCCGTTTCCTCCTCCTCCTCCTCCTTTTCCTCCTCCTCCTCTCCTCCTCCTCCTCCTCCTCCTCCTCCTCCTCCTCCTCCTCCTCCTCCTCCTCCTCCTCCTCCTCCCTCCTCCTCCGTCTCCCTCCCCCTCCCCCTCCCCCTCCTCCTCCTCTTCCCCGCCCCCGCCCCCTCCTTCAGCAGAACCGCCTAGGAAACGGGGGGGGCGGGCCATTGCGATCCCCGCGGCACCTGCGTACTCCATGCCCCGCGTGAGCCACTTGCACCGCGCTACGGGCTTGGTGGAGACCACCTGGTTGACCCGACCCCTTTCCAAAGGGCGAGGACGAGGGAGGGGGAGACAGTCCTCCTCATCATTCCCCTCGTCCCGTTCCTTTTCCTCCTCCTCCTCCTCCTCCTGCTGCTCATCCTTGCCCAACCTGCTCCCCAGAGGGCGATGCCGAGGGGAGAGGAGCGGGGAAAGGAGGAGGAGGAGGAGGAGGAGGAGGAGGAGGAGGAGAGAGAGAGAGAGAGAAGACGCAAGTTTGGAGCAGAGAGGATAAGTGGCCCCAACTCCCCCCACACCTTGCCACGCGAACCCCCCACGTCCGCCAAGAGCCTCCCAGAATCTCACAGGGAGGGTTTCAAGCATGATCTATCGCGCCCCCAGACCCACCCACGTGCTTGGACCACGATCGCACTACACAACAAAATTTCCGGGCGAAGGACCCAACCATATGCAGTTGTGAGTAACGCGTTGTGCGTGCCGCTGTCGGTGGAGCTCCCTATAGGGCCACGAATGGGTGGGGGAGACGCATGCGGGCGGTGCCACTGGGGCCTTCGGTGAGGCTCCCTATGAGCCACGACGGGCGGTGCCCTTCGCTGGAGCTCCCGATGAGGCCATGAAGCGCTGCACTGGTTGGGGGAGACGCACGCGGGCCGTGCCACTGGGGTCTGTCTGTGGAGCTCCCTACGAGGCCACGAAACGCTGTACTGGGTAGTGACCGACGCATGCGGGCGGTGCCAGTGGGGCTTCGGTGGTGCTCTCTACGGGGCCACGAAGCGCTGTGTAATGGGTGGGGGGACGCATGCGGGCGGTGCCAGTGGGGCCTTCAGTGGAACTCCCGATGGGCCCACGAAGCGCTGCACTGGGTGCGGGGTCGCATGCGGGCGGACCACTGGAGCTCCCGATGGGGCCACGAAGCGCTGTACTGGGTAGGGGGGATACATGCAGGTGGTGCCACTGGGGCTTGGCGGAGCTCCCAATCAATGGAGTCGCGAAATCGAATACTGGGTGGTGGTTGACGCATGCGGGCGGTCCCACCGGGACCTTCGGTGGAGCCCCCTATAGGGCCACGAAACGCTGTACTGGACAGGTGAAGCGCAGGGAGGAAGGGCTGTGCTGGGTGGTGGTTGACGCATGGGGGCGGTCCCACTGGGACCTTCGGTGGAGCTCCCTATCGGGCCACGAAACGCTGTACTGGGTGGGTGAAGCGCAGGGAGGAAGGGCTGTGCTGGGTGGTGGTTGACGCATGGGGGCGGTCCCACTGGGACCTTCGGTGGAGCTCCCTATGGGGCCACAAAGCGCTGTACTGGACAGGTGAAACGTAAGGAAGAAAGGATGTGCTGGGTGGTGGTTGACGCTCGCGGGCGGCCCCACCGGGACCTTCGATGGAGCTCCCTATGGGACCACGAAGCGCTGTACTGGGTGGGTGAAACGCAGGGAGGAAAGGCTGTGCTGGGTGGTGGCTGACGCATGCGGGCAGTGCCACTGGGGCCTTCGGTGAAGCCCTCTATGGGGCCACGAAGCGCTGTGATGGGTGGTGGCTGACGCATGCGGGCGGTGAAACTGGGGCCTTCGGTGGAGCTCCCGATGGGGCCACGAAGCGCTGTAATGGGTGGGTGAATCGCATGGAGGAAGGACTGTGCTGGTTGGTGGTTGCCCCACCACGAAACGCTGCATTGGGTGGGTGAATCGCAGGGAGGAAGGGCTGTGCTGGGCGGTGGTTGACGCATGCGGGCGGTCCCACTGGGACCTTCGGTGGAGCTCCCTATGGGGCAACGAAACGCTGTACTGGGCAGGTGAAGCGCAGGAAGGAAGGGCTGTGCTGGGTGGTGGCTGACGCATGGGGGCGGTCCCATCCGGACCTTCGATGGAGCTCCCTATGGGGCCACGAAACGCTGTACTGGGTGGGCGAAACTCAAGGAAGAAGGGCTATGCCGGGTGGTGGTTGGCGCAAGCGGGCGGCCCCACTGGGACCTTCGGTGGAACTCCCTATGGGGCAACGAAACTCTGTACTGGGTGGGCGAAACGCAAGGAGGAAGGGCTGTGCTGGGTGGTGGTTGACGCACGAGGGCGGTCCCACTGGGACCTTCGGTGGAGCTCCCTATGGGGCCACGAAACGCTGTACTGGATGGGTGAAACGCAAGGAGGAAGGGCTGTGCCGGGTGGTGGTTGACGCATGGGGGCGGTCCCATTGGGACCTTCGGTGGGGCTCCCTATGGGGTCACGAAGCGCTGTACTGGGTGTGTGAAACGCAAAGAGGAAGGGTTGTGCTGGGTGGTGGTTGACGCATGCGGGCGGTCCCACTGGGACCTTCGGTGGAGCTCCCGATGGGGCCACGAAGCGCTGTACTGGGTGGGCGAAACGCGCGGAAGAAGGGCTGTGTTGGGCGGTGGTTGACGCATGAGGGCGGGCCCACTGGGACCTTCGGTGGAGCTCCCTATGGGGCCACGAAGCGCTGTACTGGGTGGGTGAAGCGGAGGGGGGAGGGAGGAAGGGGGAGGGGGAGGAGGGAGGGGGGGCACCGGGAGGAGGAAGGAACGCGGGGCGCTGTCTCTTCAAACCGAGGACCCAACATCACAGGATAGTTGGGAACAGTATCAGTTGTTGGTGTTTAGTTGCTCCTGTCCCTGTGCACCCTGCACGTTGGTCCATGATATGTACCCTCGGCCCTCTACTCTCTACGCGCCACTTACTGTATTAGATGAACAATCTCTATGTGTATATAAACACCTGTTTAAAGCACTGTGTATATATCCATTGTGCTTCTCTATACATATCTCTATAATCTATACAGATACATAAAGACGTACACACAAATATGTGTGCGTTTGCGTGCGTGCTTGTGTGCGTATGTGAGTGAGCGCGTGTGCGCGTGTGCGCGTGTGTGCGTTTGTGTGTGTGTGTCTGTGTGTCTGTGTGTGCGTATGTGCATGTGTGCGTGTGCGCGTGTGCGTGTGTGCACGTGTACGTGTGTGCGTGTCTGTGCGTGTCTGTGCGTTTGTCTGTGTGTCTGTGTGTCTGTGCGTGTCTGTACGTGTCTGCACGTGTCTGTGCTTGTCTGTGTGTGTCTGTGCGTGTCTGTGCGTGTCTGCGCGTCTGTGCGTGCCTGTATGTGTCTGTGCATGTCTGCGTGTGTGCGTGTGTGTCTGTATCCGTATCCGTGTGTGTCTGTGTGTGTCTGTCTATGTATGTCTGTGCGTCTGTGTGTGTGTCTGTGTGTCTATGTGTGTGCCTATGTGTGTGTGTGTGTCTGGATGTGTCTGTGTGTGGGTGCCTGTGTGTCTGTGTGTGTGTTTGTGCCTGCGTGCATGTCTGTGCGTGTCCGTGTGCGTCAGAGTGTGTCTGTGTGTGTCTGCGTGCATCGGCGTGTGTCTGTGTGTGTCTGTGTGTCTATGTGTGGCTGTGTGTGTGGCTGTGTGTGTGGCTGTGTGTGTGTGGCTGTGTGTGTGTGTGTGTCTGTGCGTATCTGTATGTGTCTGTGTGTGTGTCTGTGTGTCTGTGTGTGTGTGTGTCTGTGTGTCTGTGTGTCTGTGTGTCTGTGTGTGTCTGTGTGTCTGTGCGTGCCTGTGTGCCTATGTGTGCCTGTGTGTGTCTGTGGGTGTCCGTGTGCCTGTGTGTGTCTCTGTGTGTCTCTGTGTGTGTCTGTGTGTGTCTGTGAATGTGTCTGTGTGCCTGTGTGCCTGCGTGTGTGGCTGTGTGTGTGGCTGTGTGTGTGGCTGTGTGTGTGGCTGTGTGTGTGTGTCTGTGTGCGTGTCTGTGCGTGTCTGTCTCTGTGTCTGTCTCTGTGTGCATGCCTCAGTGTGTCTGTCTGTGTGTCTGTCTGCCTGTCTGTGCGGCTGTGTGTCTGTGTGTCTGTGTGTGTGTGCCACCGTGCCGCGAGGCACGAGTTGGAGGTACCTCATGTCCCTTCTGCCCTCCGTTCTCAGCCCTGTGTGAACGAAAATTGAAAAGGGCCCAGGCCCACATTTTCAAAATTTCACAAGGCATGCCGCGTGACTCCCAGGGCTTGGCGCGTGCTGTCGCGTGACTTGTTCGGAGCAAGGAGGGCCTTAACGCTAGCCCACAAGTCTCCAAGAGTCCCCGAATGCGGTGGGCCCCGAGTCGCACAAAGATCGCTCCAAGACGCCGAAGATGGCCTCCAGACGGCCCAAAGGGCTCGCAAGACGTCCCATAAGGGCTCCAAGAGCTCTTCCAAGAGGGCCCCAGGAGGCCCAAATCGGTGATTCCCCGTTGGTGTTCCAAGGCATTTATTGCATGTTCGGACTTCCAACGTTCCAGGAAGGCCCAAGGGGCCCCCAATATCGCCCCAGGATGGCCTCAGAGGGCCCCAAGAGAGCCCAAGAGGCCCCGAATACAAGCCAAGAAGGCCCCACAAAGGCCACAAGAGAGGCTCCAAAGGGGGAACACGAAACGACATTTTGATTTATTCCGAATCAAGAAAACTTCCGAGACCGTCAGCAGGCCCCCGAGAAGCCCCCCAGAAACTCGAGGAGGTCTCCAATCGGCCTAAATCAAGCCCCAAGAGGCCTCGAAAAGGCCCCAAAGGCACATCGATACAGCCTCCAAGAAGCTTCCGAGAGAGGCCTCCCAAGAGATTCCCAGACATCCAAGAGGCCTCTGACCTGCAACCAAGGCACGGTGGCGGGATGGGCTGAAGGCCTCCCTTCTCCCTCCCTCGTTCTCTCTCTCTCTGTCGTTTTTTGTTTGTGCTCTCTCTCTCTCTCTCTCTCTTTTCCTCTCTCTCTCTCTCGCTCTCTCTCTCTCTCTCTACATATATAAATGTATATCTATGTATGTGTATACATGTATATACATATACACATACATATATATATATATATATATATATATATATATGTGTGTGTCCTGTTTCTCTGTGTATATATATATATATATATGTGTTGATGCATGCCGGTAAACATGTGTGCGTATGTGTATACCAAGAAAACTCCAAAAGAGGCCCGAGAGGCCCCCAAGACGGCCCCAAGAGCGTCCAAGAGCGCCCTAAGAGGGCCCCGAAGAAACGA